ATCAAACCAAATTCAGCCATTCGCGAGACAATTGCGCACATACATACACACAGGTCAAACTGACAATCTTCTATTTTTTCGATGTCAGTTAAAAATCAAAACCAACCCAATAACACTTTACATAACTCGAAAATAAATAAAGGGAGTGACGTTATATCATATTGTGTCGTAATCCCCCTTTTTACGGTTCTTTACACAATAGGAATTTGTACTACTAACCTACAAACATTTAATACGACCTTTTTACCCGCAAAACTAAATTATAAACGTTTTATTTTCGAATCTCTCAAACCAAACTAGAAATGGTTAGAAAATGAAGGTCAAATAAGTTGAAAATAGATCTCTAATTTTAAAGACTGGCTGGCTTATATATGTATGTATATATTATGTTTTATATTGGGATAACCCGGTAAACGAGCAGACGGATCACCTGATGGTAAGCCATCGGTGTCGCCCATGGACATCAAGAACATAACATAACATCACGACTTTTATCCCCGAAGAGGTAGGCAGAGGTGTACATTACGGCACTTAATGCCACTGTACAATGTAACACCCACTTTTTACTATTTATGCTATGAGTCCCATGTAATAGGGGGTGAGCCTATTGCCATATACTGGGCACAATTCCAGACTCCAAGCTACTACTCAGGTTTTTTTAAAAAAACCCAGTAGTACTTTGCCCGACCTGGGAATCGAACCCGAGACCCCTTGCCCGAGTCGCAATTGTGACCCCTCGAGGCACCAACGAGGCAGGCCGGAACACTAGAGGTTTTACAAGTGCGTTACCGACCTTTTGGGGATTAGGAATTTAAGGATTGTTGGATATTCAGGGATTGGGAAGATTGGGGAAGGGGGGATAGTTGAAATTAGATCTCTAATTTTAACGTCGACGGCTTATGTATTCGGAAAATCTTCTTTATTTGTATAATAACTTTCGTGAGACATACTACCTAAATGATTTATTATGTTATCGGCTTACTCACGTAATTATTTGACGAGGAACTCGACTAGTTTCAAGCCGTGCTAGAGGCTCATATTCATGAGCAGCATTTCGCGACCTGCGACGCGGCGACTGTAGCAGCACGACAGTCGCTGTGAAACTAGTCGAGTATCTCGTCAAATAATTACGTGAGTAAGCCGAAAACGTAATAATTTATCTACTTTATTCTAAGAATAGTGTATCAGCTTCCCTAGATTTCTGCTAGATGAAGCCTCAATTAAATTAAATTTATTAAAATTTTATTGTTTATAAATAATCCTTTAAATAGTTAGGTACTGTGATATAGAAGCCATCACTCATAGTACTACTTAAAAATAAACATAAATAAGATCTCTTTACAGATGCTTATATAATAGATACAAGTTCTATAAAATTATTTATTTGCTCTGTAGGTAATTATTTCAATAAAAATGAACTTATTTTATTCACAGGTTGGCTCTACAGATAACTTACAGTGTAGACGTGCATATCAACCGGTAAGTCGAAGAATATAAAAAAGATATTTTATACAGCCTATTTTGAAGTCTAACGTAACATAACATCACGCCTTTTATACGCGAAAGGATAAGCAGACGTGCACATTACGGCACTTAATGCTACTTTACAATGTAACATCCAATTTTCACTATTTATGTTATGAGTCCCATTAAATACGGTGAGCCTATTGCCATACACCGGGCGTAATTACAGATCTATTGCCATATACCGGGCACAATTCCGGACTCCGTGCTACTACTGAGAATTTTATTTTTAAAAACCCAGTAATACTATGCCCGTCCAAGGAATCGAACCCAAAACCCCTTAATCGCAATCGCACTTGCGATCAATTGCCTAATATATGTTGTACTTCATTTTTATTCCAGAACGCAATGCTGTGTTGTGATGGGATGCCGGAGTCTACATTCAAACTATCAATGACTGATGAATTGAGATCATGCTTCGAACAATCTAAAGATCCCGTGACGGTATGTTAATCGATTATAGTCTTCTTGACTGTGTTTTAGGTGTCATTATCGCCTGTGTATCATATATTATATTTTGGGTAATTCCATAAAAGTAATAGTCTTATTTATTAACATTTTCTATCTTAAGTTATGATGATAATGTTATCATCGCTTCCAATGAAGTCGCTTGATTTATTATAGCAACGCTTTTAAGTTTAATATAATTGGTCATTATTCATAATACTGCTAAATATTCTGTTTTCAGTGTGAGCGAGAAATATGTATAGCTAATATAAAAGGATTTGCAACCAAGGACAATGAAATAAATATGAAAAAATTGGAAGAACTCATAGATGATGAATTTTGTGAAGATACGAAGCTCTTAGAAGATGTTAAAACGAACTGCCTGAATGATAATTTCGAGAAGTACGCCCCTTCAGAGTATTGTAACTTCAGTAAAATGAGACATTGTGTTGCAGTCCAGATGTTGAGTGTAAGTAGATTAAAAATTTAACAAAATTATCAATAAATAGTAAAACTAAGATAAATACGTAAATCTGGAGTATTATTCGATTCATTTAAACTAAACATTAAGTAATTCCAGATCAAAACCCGCATGATTTTGACGTTGATTTTTTAACAGAATTAGTGGACGTCCCATCGCATCGGTATAATTTTGTTACATTCCCTCAACCTTCCTTTCATCATTCAAAAATGATCCTTATACCTTTCTTGAGTCGCGGAGAACCTAACATGTTACCGGGGCTCCGGCTCGACGTGCAGGAGAAGGAACGGGGTGGTATTTAGTCAGTAAGAGTCTGACACTCCCTCCCGCCTCACCCAGGCGGGAGCAGTCAATCGATGATGTTCCCACCTTTAAAAAAAATACCTTTCGTGTGCGAATTCCAGTAATTTTTCTTTGCAGCATTGCCTTGAATGGCATGACAACGCGGATTGCAAAGAAATGAAGGGATTTGTGGAAAAATGTGTGAAAATGAGCCAATGAAAATTCTTTACTGCTTGAAAAGAGGCCGTGGAGACCCGAGCAATGGAAATTTCTAATTAAATTAAACTGGAGCACTTAAATTCTGTTTTATTCTTAGCTTTTTAGAAATGTCAAGTCTGATTCTTGCTCTTGTTGGGATATTTAAAATGTACTTACTTGTAACGTTTTTAAAACGAAGTCGATTTTTTTAATTATTTAGGTACTACAGGCACTATTTAAGGCTTATTTGACGGCCGTTAGTTTAAGATTAATGAAATAATATGGAATTATTGTAAATTGGGATGATGGCAGGGTATAAAAATTAAAAATCTAATTAGTCCGTAAGTTAGGTAATTAAAAATATTATACGCGTATTTTTTACTTTGTCGTATAATAAAACAATACTTAGATAAAACAAATCAAAGTTTAGGAGTGGGGCTCAAACGTCATTTTTACGTATAAAATGTACATAGAAGTGACGTCACGCAACATTTCAAATCAATATATCGACGAAAGTATTCGTTTCTGTAAGAAAATAAAAATACGTGTCTAATGATTTAAAATAATCTACCAGACGAACATTAAAATAAAAATATAAATTAGACAACTACCCTACTTTTGTGCTAGTTTTTTTTGCAATAATCTCTCACGCACTCTATTAGAATAAAATGAAAACTAGTCGATATACCATTGACATCATGAATTTAAACTAACAACTGCGGATAATCTGGAGGTGAACTACACGACATTAAGCCATATTAGGGAAAATATTAGGGAAAAATATATAAAAGTTAAGATCTCAGATTGAAGAAATAGCATTTGCACAATACGTAAAAAAGTACTTATGAATCATTTATTTACTTAACAAAAATTATCTAAGGGGACTAACAGTTATGTTTTTTTACACTATATAATATTAAGAAATATGACGAAAGAGGATATGACTCAATCATTCATGGCTAATCATCTTATATCCAACGACCGAATGTATGAGGTGACAATCAAAGCGATGTTAGTCACTAATCGACTTTAAATATATATGTTCAAATCTAAAATGAAATCTATGGACTAGTTTTAGAGCTTGAATTTGCTTGGTTGAGTCGATTTAACTTTAAGTGTGGGAAAGCCATGCTTCGGCACGAATGGACCGGAGTAGATATTTTGCCAATGGCTTTACAGAAAAACTATGCGAACCAACGCTTACGTTGTGTTTCTTCATGTAAGTGAGGTTACCGGAGGCCAAATCGCGCTCCCACCCCCAATCTCCTCAGTCCCCGAATGCCTAACAATTCTCAAATGCCTAATCCCCAAAAGGCTGGTAACGCACTTGTAACGCCTCTTGTGTTTCGGGTTTCTATTCTTCTGATCCTGGGTATTCATGGGCAGCACCGGTTGCTTACCATCAGCTGATCCGTCTGCTCCTTTACCCTTATATCCGAAAACTTTTGGTTTCCTAAACTTACGAATCGATTAGATCGAAAAAACATAAGAATAAAACTAAAGGTCTAAATCTTTTAATCTTATACTATTATATAAATCGGAAGAGTTTGTTTGTTTGTTTGAACGCGCTAATCTCCGTAACTACAAGTCTGATTTGAATAATTCTTTTTGTGTTGGATAGCGCATTTATCGAGGATGGCTATAAAACATCACGCTATGACCAATAGGAGCTGAGCAGAGCGTGTGAAACCGCGCGGAAGTAGCTAGTACAAAATAAATCGCTTGTACTTACGTAAACGCAACATAATTTTACGTCAACCGAAATCAGTTGACCCTTCATGTGTCACCCAAAATTTGACTGGCCACAACGTAATAATGTGCAGTTAATAAAATAAATAAATCGCATTATGTTCTATTTGTCAAAAACGTGTTCACACAAACATACAGACTTTTTAAAACATAGTTTTTCACACAATAATGTGGTAATAATAATTATTATTACTACTCACAACAATGCTACAATTTTCTGGTATTTAGGCAGACCGGCAATAAATTGATGATGTGTGTGTGTATAAATATAATATGCTCATGAATACATTGTTCAGTGTGTATCAAGCATTTATACAGTATGTACCGCTTTGTGATCCTCAGTATAGTTCTTGTGTCAGCTTTGGTAAGAAATTTTAATGTTTTACTTAACTTTAATGACCTCGTTGGCCGGGGGGCAAGCATTATCGGTTTTTTAAATAAATCTCAGTAGTAGCATGGAGTCTAGAATTGTGCCCGGTATATGGCAATAGGCTCACCTCCTATTACATGGGACTCATGACATAAATAGTGAAAAGTGAGTGTTACGTTGAACAGTAGCATTAAGTGCTGTAACGTGCACCTCTGCCTTTCCCTTCGGGAATAAAAGGCGAGATGTTATGTTATTTAAGGTGTTCATAAAATTGTAACGTTTTTGATTGTTAATAATTTTTACATTACATACCTTTTTAACTTACACTCATAACTGTTTGACGAAGAACTCGACTAGTCTACTCATCAAACATTTACATCAGTAAGCCAAAAACATAATAATTAATTTACTATGTTTCACCAAAGTTATAAGATTTTGAGTGTTATACAGTTATCAAGTATTGAGAGACGTTCATATACCTTAAGTGCATTTGGCAAAATATGTTGTTAATAAACTTTTATATTTTTTACAGGCTGACGATATAGATATAAGAGAATGCGGTCGTATTTTTCACCCTGTGAGTACTTTAAATTTTTATGGGATAGGGGGCAGGTCACCTAATGGTAAGTAATCAGCGTCACTTAACAGAAACCCAACCCTTTGTAACAAAAAGGAACAGTTGTCGACTTTTGATGAAGCCTTGGCCTTGCTGGGGATACTTCAATAGATTAATTCATGACTTTAGAGTTCATATCGGATTTCATTTCAATTAAATTGATGCATCATCTTCTTTTTTTTTTGATAGCATAAGCCGGTAAACGAGCAGAAGGTGGAGGTGATCCGTCTGCTCGTTTAAAATAAAAAAAAGGTTCACCTGATGGTAAGCTATTGTTGATTTGAGGATTGTGGAGGATTCGGGGATTCGGGAGACGGGGACTAGGAACGGGGACTAGGGTAATTGGACCTCCGGTAACCTCACTCAAACGACGAAACATAACGCAAGCGTTGTTTCAAGTCGATTTTCTGTGAGGCCGTGGTATCACTCCGGTCGAGCCAGCCCATTCGTGCCGAAGCATGGCTCTCCCACACTTAAAATTTGATGCATTTTCTTCTTTCACATATAGGTAATAGAAGAGCGTTTTAATTGTTCTTTGTTCTATTTATTTTCAGCCTCCACACGGATGTTGCAAGGCGGATAATGCAGTTAAAAATAAAGAAATGTTAGCTGAAGAACTAAAAGATTGCTTCGACGGGTCTGGACCAAAAGATCCGATGAAAGTGAGTTAAATTATTCTTAATAATATCGACGGTTGAAAGGCTAATTGTGCTAAGTGACATTTTTTGTAATATTGTATCTTGACGAAGGGAAATTCGCTGATTTTAAACATGTTTTTAACTCAATATCGTAAAAAATGTCGCTTAAATCATTGAACCTTCAACTGTCAATATGTTGTTTAAATTTTAAATAACTGAATGATGACTATAACACAAATAATATGAGTTTAAAAAAACAGTATTTATTTGCATAAAATGTTTACAGTAGGTTGTTATAGATTTATAATATAGTGGCCGTATACATTTTGCACGTTTATTGGCATGCAAAATATGATAAAAAAAAGCTGTCAGATTCAATATAATAGTAAGAAATAATTAAGATTTACAAATTCAATATGAACAATAATAACAATGTCAAGAAATACATAATGTTAAAATAATGTTATAAAATACATAATGTTAAAATAATGTCATGAAACACATAATGTTACAAATTATCAATTAGAAAGTCTGTTGTTGAATAATAACATTTGTCAATGAGAAGTTTTTGTACAGTCGCTTTAAATTGATTTAAATTTATTTTTATTTTAGTTTTAATTCTCGGGTAAATGTATTTACCTATATCAATTTCATATGTTACGACTGTTAATCCTGATTTTAATTCTATGTTTTACAGTGTGAAATTGACCTATGCATAGCCAAAAAGAAGGGATTTGCCACCGACGATGGTAAACTAGACATAAAGAAATTCGAAGAAGTCATTACTAAAGATGTTGGGTCTGATAAAGATCTACTGGATGAAATAAAGACCAATTGTATTAACGGGGACCTTAACAACTACGGCCCACCGGATTTCTGCGACTTCATCAAGATCAAGCACTGTGTCACTTTGCATATGATGAATGTAAGTAAAGTTATATATTTTTATATCGTGAGACTTACTAAATTAACAAAAAAATCACAGGTTTACTGAGAAAAGCTCTACTAGTATCTAACCACAGCCTATAGCCTGTAGCGCGCGCGCCACGACCGCGCATGCTGCTCGTGAGAAAGAACCCCTCTGTGGTTCGAAACTATTAGAGTTTTTCTCAGTATATTCACATGAGTAACCCGCGATTTTTTTAGTTAAAAATGTTATATACCTAAATACTTCGTTAGATAAAATGCAATTCGAAGATTTTCGGTATTTATTACCTATCTAAATTTATTTTGCGACTGGTATGGTAAACAGGTTACACAAGAGTCATAATAATATTATACTGTATAACGTTTTCATTAACAAAATCATCCATTGTAATAACCTAATGAAATGGCTATAATTGAGTGGTTTACACAAAATTGTACTTTATTATTAGAACCAGTATAGTTATTATCTATTGTTTTTTGCAGCACTGTTCTGAATGGAGTGATGACGGAAACTGCAAGGCTGTTAAAGAATTAGTCGGAAAATGTGCGAAAGTCATATAAAATTACTAATTAAAATTACAAATTGTATTTAGTTAAGAAGAATGGAAGAGGACGGAGAGCCTTTACAGATTATAATTATTGAAATTAATTAAATTGGAGCACTACAAATTGTGTTTTATTACAAACGATTTTCAAACTGTCAAACACCGCGAGGACACCGGTGACCGCAACCTATTGTTCTTTAATTGTGTCTAATAATGACGGTACTCAAATGATTAAAGAAAAAGAAGAAGTAAAATAAACACATTAACATAACATCAGGGGTAGGCAAAGGTGCACATTACGGCACTTAATGCCACTGTATAATGACACCCACTTCTCACTATTTAAGTTATGAGTCCCATGTAATAGGGGGTGAGCCTATTGCCATATACCGGGCACAGTTCCAGACTCCGTGCTACCATTGAAATTTGTTTTAAACCCAGTAATACTATATAACTTTGCCCAACTCGGGAATCGAACCCGAGACCTCATGCCCGGCAGTCACACTTGCGACCACTAGGCCAACGAGGCAGTAAAATAAATTATTGTGTAAAACATAATGTGCGAACTTGAGCTCTGGTTTTCAATAGAAAAAAAACATGTCGTTACTCATATGTACTTAAAATCAAGATCGCAACCAAAACATATACAGAAGTTACAACAAAAACATACAATACACAACCACAATAAAATTGATTGCAAAAGTAATTACACTGAAAGCGGGTCTCCATTTCAAACAAAACCCCACAAAACCACGACGTACAAAGATTCTGAACAGAACTGTACTAAATAGCTACCTGAAACGTTAATTTGGGGAGAAGAAACGAACAATTGAGGTTGAAACACACGTCATGCAAACTTCTAACGTTGTGACCGGTTCAAAACGAGGCAAGTTCGTGGTAACGGTACATTTAACCACTACTTCTGCAGTTTTCGGGTGAGGTCCTACTGAACAACGGATTGGAATTTGCTTTGTAATGTCCTTAAGTTTCGGTTCGGTTTGCAACGAAGAAAATTGGTTAGAATATCATTTAAAATTTGATTGAAAAGAACTGATATTATTTATTTATTTATTTCAACTTCATACAACAAGTGTGTACAGGTGGACTTAATGCCTTGGGCATTGTCTCCCAGTCAACCTTTAAGCAGTGCAGAGATGAAAGTAGCAGGTGATTTAAACCTTTATAAATAGGCAATGTACCTATAATGTGATATATGGTTTTGTTGAAGTGGTGGATGTGGTTGAATAATAGATAATAGCTTGTTATATTTCGTAGTTTTATTAAAAATCTCACAGAAAGCACATGATGGGCGCCATGCAGACGACAAAAGGGAAGAATACAGATAATATATCGACGTCTATGAGAAACTTGCCAACTTAACACTAGATGGCGCTACTTATATTATTTAACTTAAGATTATAATATTTACCTTATTACAACACACCTCCTTAAATTTATAATCTTAACATTTTATCTTACATGAACAGTATTTTAAAGTTATTACAGTTTTAATATTTTACTTAAACAGTACTTTAAAGTAATAATCTGAACTCTTAACTAAATTAATCTTAATTCAAACCTGTTTTTCAAAAATTTTGATTTATCTAGACTCTTAGTCAACATATCTGCTAAGTTACATTTTGTATCAATTTTAATTATATCAATAAGTTTGTTTTCATAATTCTCGTTTATATAATGATATTGCACTTCAATGTGCTTTGAATTTTTAGTAAAGTTACCATACTTAGCTATTGCAATTGCACCTGAGTTATCTTCATACAATTTTATTGGATAACAAAAGTTTATATCAAATGACTCACTTAACAAATTTCTTATAAAAAGTACTTCAGTTACTGCCTCTGACAATGCAATATACTCTGCAAAAGTTGAACATTTAGTTACTGTATTTTGTTTACGTGTTTTCCAAAATATTAAATTTCCAAAAAATCTTATAATAAAACCTGTTGTAGACTTCCTATCCACATTATCCCCTGCATAGTCTGAATCAACCATACAGTCTAAAATATCAGCATCTGCATTATCATAATATGTTAACTTTAGATTCTTAGTTTTATACAAATATTTTAACACCCTCATTGCATATTTGTAATGTGTTCGGTTATAACAACTTTGATATCTACTCAAATAATTAACGCTGTACGCTACATCTGGTCTTGTGCCTGTACTAATATACAATAATTCACCTATTATATTTCTGTATTAATACTTTCATCGACCTCACTAGCTTGCTCTAATTTTAAATTTGTTTCCATAGGAGTATCATATAACTTAGTATTTACCAAATTATACTTTGCAGCCAAAGATTCAATATACTTTGTTTGACTTAATGTCATCACATTTTTATCATCATTATACTCAATATCTATGCCAATATAGCTTTTAATTTTCCCCAAGTCTTTCATTGCAAATCGTTTCATTAAACTTGTTTTCACCTCTTTTATTTTATTTTTATCTTTACAACATATTAAAAGATCATCAACAAATATTAATATGTATATTGGATCTTTGCTTGCTTTTTTAACATACAAACAGTAATCATAACTACTTCTAACAAAATTCAAAGTTTTTATAAATATATCAAAACAATCATACCACACTCTAGGACTTTCTTTGAGACCATAGAGAGCTTTTTGCAATTTGTAAACTTTATTATTCCTGTTTTATAACCTTCTGGTTGATTTACATAAACTTCTGACTTTACATAACCATTTAAAAAGGCTGTTTCAACATCCATTTGCTCTACAAATAATTTATTTTTACAACTGTATGACAATAAAATTTTCAAAGTTTGCATTTTTCCAACAGGTGAGTAAGCATTTTCATTAAAATCTTTTTGCTGAAACCCTCTCACAACCAATCTAGCTTTATATTCATTATTACTTTTCTTTTTAAAAACCCATTTAACATCAATTACCTTTTTATCTTTTGGTTTTTCTACAATTTGCCAAGTATTATTTTTATTTAAACTATTTATTTCAGAATCCATGGCTATTTGCCATTGCTTACTATCATTGGAGTTCATCGCCTCCTCGAATGAATTTGGTACATTTGCATCAATATGGTTAACATAAATAAAGTGTGTAACTGGATTACCATATCTAGAAACTGGGATTCTCTTTCTTTTCTGTGATTCTACTAAAACGTCATTTTCTCTATTATTATTTACGTTACTACTAGAATAAGTCTCATCTGCATCTACAAAGTTTTCATCGGTTTCATATTCATTTTTAACCTCTTCATTTGAAACATCTAAAGTATTATCACTTTCCAATCTTTATTATTTTGATTGTCTACTTTTTCCAAACAAATTAACTGAGTATTTTCTTCAATTACCTGTACATGCCTTGCATTAATTATTCTGTTATTTAACAAAACTCTGTAACTATTTTCATTATAACCCACTAAAATTCCTAGTTGAGCTTTATCTTCCCATTTACTTTTTCTTAACACTTCAGGAACTCTAACATAGACTCTACTTCCAAAATTTTTAAATGCTCTACATTGGTTTGACCCCAAAAAATATCTCATAAGGAGTTTTATTTTCAACTGTATTTGCAATAGTACGATTCTTTGTTTTATTAACTTCAGGCCAGTACCTCCTATGTATTTTAGCTTCTCTCATTAAACATCTACCTATATCCATAGCAGACCTATTATACCTCTCCGCTACTCCGTTTAAACTCATGAAATAAGGTGGACATGGTAACAACTCTATGCCCTTATACCTTATAAAATTATAAATATCCTTATTTAAATACTCTTACCATTGTCACACTGAATCTTCTTGACTCTTTTATTAAATTTATTTTCTACTAAATTTATAAACTCTATAAAACACTTTGCAGTTTCAGCTTTACTTTTAATACAAAATATCCTGGTACATTACTATAATCATCAATAAAGGTTAAAAATATTTTTTCACCATAACCAGTTGTGTTATGGGCCCATTCAAATCAGTATGAATAAGTTCTAAAATCTCAGTAGTTTTGTTCTATTATTTTCAAAAGGTACATTAGTCATTTACTCTGAATACAATTTGAACATTTCATTCTGTGCTTTCAATTTTATCTGGCAAACCATCAACTAATTTATTATTTATTATCTTACTTAAGTATTGAAAATTCACATGACCAAGTGCCCTATGCCATTTTTCTTTCTGCGTTAACTTTACAGAATTTGTGCATACTTCATTTTTTAAGACATAACCTTTTAAGCAATACAAATTATTAATTTTATCAGCAACAATATCAACTCTCTAGACTCATTTATATTTTAGCACTTTCATTTTTAGCTACTATTGTACAACTATTAGTTACCTTTGAAAAACTTAATAAATTTTGTTTTATTCTTCGACATAATAGACATTTTCTAAATCTACATACTTCACACTATAATAGTTTTTGAAATACATTTTTACAGTACCTACTTTGGTTGCTTTCAAGGTTTTTCCATCTGGTAATTTTACATCAACAAAATCTTTCAATCTACACTGTCATAAAAATATGAATAATCATTTATAAGATGGTCAGTGCCCACTATCTAAAAGCCAATTACTACATTACTATTATTATTAAATGTTACCTTTTCATTACATCCGGATACCTGGTTTACTTCTGGTTTACATACTTCAGCTGTCCATGACTGGGAGGGACCGTTGCTCGAAGAATCACTTTAGGATGATTGCTAGATGAGTGGCCTTGACCTCTGCCTCGGCTGCGACCTCTGTAGATCTCTGATGTCCTCGCTGACCCCGACTAGACGACTGGAAACTTCCTTGAGAACTTTTTGTCCTTGATTATTCTCTGAGCGTGCCAACAATCCTTCTTGAGATGACCAGTTACCACAGACAAAACATTGAGCTCTTGTGGTGCTGGTTGTATATGTACTCACATTATTTTTTGTCATCGCACATAGTCATATTTTTCTCCTTTATTTTTGAATGTACATAGTCCACAGTCCTTTGTTCTTCAGGAATCACGTCCAGAAAATCTCCTA